AATAATATAGAATAATCTTTTTATATATATATTAAAATTTTAACAAAGAATCATATGTCCTCCAATTTATTACAAGGTTGATACTGACAAGGCTTTTCCATATTTCTTATCAGCGTACACACATGTACATATATTAATGCAACGTTTTTATTATTGCACTCAAAGCAGCTGTCAGAAAAAATTAACGTGTAATAACTTAGAATATGATATATATCAACGTAATGGTACAAATTGGCTTTAAAGCATTCTTTGATAATAAAATTAATAAAATCAGTTTGTAAAATTTTTTCTTCTTGACCAATCAAATGCTTCAAAGTATTTGTAGTGAGATTTCGACCGCACCCTTAATTGCAATATTTCAATATGTAATAGTCCAGTTATTTTAGTAGGTATTTGCCAGACACGAAAAAAATTTGTAATTTTTAATTGCTAGTTAGTAACAATGAATTATATTATCTCTAAACGATTCTATCTGATTATAACACAATAGTATCAATCAGATATATATTTTTTGCTCATCAGATTGTGCAAAGTTCATATTGGTGCCTCCACAGACATCGTACACATCTATACTGTAAAAAATAAAATGTTAATTTTAATTTAAAGATGTACAGTGAATTTTCTAAACATGCAAAAAATATTAAAATTAACATACGTCTTTAAGTTAAAAACTAACGTTTTATATTTTATATTATAGTGTAAAAGTTATAAGACAGGATGAAGCTCGTCAGCTTTGCGAGAATTTTGTTGCTTTTCGAAATTTGCTCTTTCGTCAATGTAATTGCCGTGCAGACATTTGCTTCCAAGAATAACTTTCCTATAGTAGTGGTCACCTGGGATTACAAATATGCAATGAGGAGAGGTATATTAAGATATCTAACTATGTCAAGAATAAAAGATATGCGAAACAATTTAAAGACAGTTTTAATTATTACTCAAGCATGGCACGCGGTATACAGTCTAAACGGAACTGCTCTGGATGCGATAGAGGCAGGATGTTCCCTATGCGAATCCGATATACCGCAATGCAAAAAAACTGTAGGATTTGGCGGCAGTCCGGATGAATCTGGAGAAACTACACTAGATGCCATGATTATGGATGGGTAATGAAATAAAAGCATCTTTTCTTCTTCAGCACACAAGTTATTATACATGTACTTGTTAGTTGGGCGTAATTTTGCCCTACTGAAAAAAATCATGTCCTAAAGTCACATAACGAAATCATGTAATTAAGACAGGTAAATCATCTGACGGATTGTTCGAAATCAGTACATGATTTTTTTTAAATTACGTACTCTGAAAAAAAATCATATGATATCAGAAATAATTTCATCCATATTGTGATTTCGTAGTCATCGAATTTTAAAGACTTGAATAAAATTCGAAATGGAAGAAAAAAAAAACATATCATCGTGTGACTTTTCAAATTATGTGAAAAAAATCACGTACTGGTTTGGAATAATCCGTAGCATTTACTTATCTTAATTACATTATATAACTTGATTTTGTTATTTAACTTTGCGACATAATTTTTATTCAGCAGGGTCTACTCAACAATATAACTATAATCTAACACACATGTGTATGTTACATATAACTTGATGTTTATTGTGTTGTTCCGTTAAACCTATACTTAGCAAGGAGATTATTCAAGAAATGTATTCTTTTTGATAGAGTGTAGGTCGATGGATGTAGGTGCAGTAGGAGGACTGCGGAACGTGAGGAATGCCATTTCGGTCGCTCGTAAGGTGTTGAAGCAAACGAAACATTCCCTAATAGTCGGAGACTCGGCTACGCAGTTTGCTATAAATATGGGATTCAAGAATATGTCTCTGCAAACGAATGAGACCAAACAGATATGGAAGCAATGGAAATCGAAAAAATGTCAACCCAACTTTCCGAAGGTATTGAGAGAGAAGACGTGCTCTTTTTTAGCATATTTTAATTTATTATTACTTCTTCGATATTCTTGCGCTACCTAGAACGTTATGCCGAAACCAGCAAAGAGCTGTGGACCTTATCGCATGATAGAAGATATCGGAAGCAGTAGAAACATGCCAGTAGGAAGCGAGGAAAATCATGATTCAATCGGTATCCTTGCGATAGATTCAAAGGGACGCACAGCTGCTGGAACATCCACGAATGGATTCATGTTCAAGATACCTGGACGTGTCGGAGATGCTTCTATTGCAGGAGCTGGCGCTCCTGATCAGAGAGTCGGTGCAGCTGCCAGTACTGGCGACGGAGATATTATAATGCGATTTTTGCCAAGGTAACATTATGCATTAATATAAACATGTATTTTCCAGATATATTTTAATGAACTAAAATAGAAATTTCATACATTCTATTTTGATTTTGGTCTTAACCTTCCTACTTTAATTTTAAATTTGTTAAGTAAAATTAATATCTAGTATA